AATCTCTGCAGAATCTAAGTCAGATGAGTTTCAGGCTCAGTTATATTCTTGCTTGACTTTCAAATGCTGGTACAGAGTGCAAACCCATTTCTATTCTACTCTCTGTTTTCACCCTTTTGGAGCTTCAAACTTGCGACATTTAAGATGTGGAAAATCCTTTTACCAGCTCCCACGGGAATGTGCATCTGTATATATTCATCTTAAAAGTTTCAACTGAAAGCTTAGCGGTTTTTGAAGTCAGTAACCATATGGCTAAAACAAAAGAGTAAACATTAACTGTTTCCCATGGACTTAATCACCTCAAAGTAATTTGCTGTCTGAGTATAGGTTTGCAGAAATATTAATGCTGTTTTTCATTTGGTGCATTTTCTATAACAAAAATAGATGCCATTTTAGAGTACCCCTTTGTTTCTGGCTGAAGTTTGTAGAGCGCGTTCCTAAGTGCAGTGTATGTATTGTATCCCTGATGCATACAGGAAGCAGTTCGTCATGATTGGCGACTCCACACTTAGTATTCACGACCACATGCCAGCCCACAGACTGGCAGTTCTGCAGCTCTGAAGTTCCCGTAGGTGTTTGAAATCCAGTGCCGAGCTGTCAGGATGGCTTCAGTCTCTGGACTCTTCTCTCACTACTGATTTTTTGTCCAAGTGATCCTTTCTTGCACCACCCAAATGTAGCTCCCACAAATCCAAGTTCTTCAGTTGGTGATCTCAGACACTGCATTGGCCCAGAACAAGGCTATCAAGACACTCATTAGTCCAGTCAGCTCTTCTATGGTCAGTCCCAAGAGAGAGGGACTATGTCACTATGCCAGAGAAGCCCCTTGGTAGCCACAGGGCCTGGACAAGCCCCTTGCTGGCTGGAAATGGTTCCACCACAAGCACAGCAGTGCAGTCGCTGAACATTTACTTGCTGTAAAGTTCTTGTATGCTTAATATCCTATCATGGAAAGGAGATTTCTATATGCAAGAATTGTTAGCATTAGGGTAGGAATGTATGTTTAAGTTTTCCTTGTGCACCATGTGCAAATGTGTTAACTTACCTGCCCTTCCAGTTGTTTTTTTTACTGTTTCCATTTAAGCAAAGTTTTATACACCTATACAGGACAGCATTACATTTCTGTTTGATGTAATACTGTCTCTCATTCATATCAGTGCTGAACCCACTCCCCTGCTTCACCCTGCGTTCTTCATAATAACAGCACTCTCCACAGAAGCCCAGAAAATGTCTGTTTTAAGTGAAGTTATTGTCCCTTTAATGACCACAGGAATATCCACAGCATTTTATGTATTGGCTTGGGAAATCTGTTCTGCCCACCCTAAGTAGCTGTCTGTCATAAATATATCTGCTCACGATATGCATTATATAAATAAAACTGTACAGGCAGAATGTTTCTCAATCACAAGAAAGGCTCTACACCCACTATCCAGAGCGCATATACTTTGTAAGCATTGGTTTCCAACAGATAAATGTAATCAAGGTTTATATGCTCACAGAAGCCAACAGGATGGGATTGTTTCACTCGAAAGATCAGAAGAAAATTGTAACTAATGTTGTGGAAAATTACTTTGGTATTGCTTTCTCAGTACAGCATCACAATTAGGTAGCAATGTGAAGCACAGGGAAAGAATAAATGAATAGTAACAAATCAACACAAACAGCTACTGTCAGGAGTGCTTTGCTCAGTGAAAGTAATGTAAGCATTACTTAAAGTTTTATGACTGTGGATTTTATACTGGTTTAAGTAGTACATCAAGGTCTCACCATCGTGCTTGCTAGGACTAAAACAATCAAGAGCAATTTCCGGAACAGACAGATAAAGCTGAAATACCAAAGTATTTTTATTAATCTTGTTTCATAAGTTGTACTATCTTAAATTAAAGATGACTGAATGTACTAACAGTGAAAAATGCCCTTTTGGACAATGCAAAACTCTCCTATGGTGCTTTTCAGTGCAAAAGAAACATTATTGACTTTTCTGGAGTTTTCCTCAGAAGATTCTAAGCCCTGCAAATGCACTTTGCTGCACAGTAACTACATGGGAAATGCAAAACCAAAGGCTAATCCAATAAAGCTCTGCCATGAAAAATCTGTTGTCCTAAGTAGCTTAATGACACATGCATTTTTTCAATTCTATTGAGGCAGCAATCAGACAAGCAAATTATAGCAGTATCCACTCTCCATTAGAAAAAGACCCCTTTGAGGAGAAATGCTCAGATGAGGGGAAGGGAAGCATCTTTTTCACACATCAAAACATCTCTTGTGATTGACAGATTTTCACAGGAGGCTGTCTGGCAATGAAATATGCCTACTCTCTTTGTAATGAAATGAATGACTGTTTTTCCTATGTCCTTTATGCTTCCTAATGTGTTTTTGTGGTAACTGGTATCATTTTCAGAAGGAGTAGAGGTGAGTTTCTGAGTCCACCATGAGCTGAAAGCACTTAATGCACATGAAAATCACCCAAACAGAAATAAGACTAATTGTATGGAGCACCTTTTACTCAAAGGTGCAGTCTGATTCCTGTTAACATAAATTGTAATTGAATGTGAGAATCAAGCAATTCATCACACACCTTTGGCAGTAACAGCATTGCTGGGATGTTCATTCTGTAGCTACAAAGAACCCTACTGACAGCTACTGAATACATCAAGGAGTGCAGCAGGGAGGGAAGGGAAGAGGACCTGAGTTCAAACTTGCCTTTATTTAAATGTGCTTGGGTGTCCCACTCAACAGTTACATCCTCTGTAATAATTTACAGTATATTACACTCAGCAGTTCAAGAGGTATGTGACAGAATAGAGTTCAGGAGCTACTGTTCTGCTCGGCTTTTGTCTTGTCATACATTCGGATAGAAGGATGTTGTTTGTGCCTGGGAGGGGAGCTAAGTGACCTAGAGAAAGGAGACTTCAGAGATTGCAAGGTAGGTAAAAGTGACCAGTGAGGGCAGGATGGGGGAGAAAGAGAACAGGATAAAAGCCTTTAGGAAAACCGGTGAAACCTGTTCAGAGAACAGGTAGCTACAGAGGGTAGCTCTTGTGCAGAAACACATTTTAAATCCTCGCGGCTGTCTGACCAGGAGTGCTACTTTGTCTTAGAAGCGGAATTTGACTCAGCATCAAAACAGATCCAGCTGAGGAAACTGGAGCACTGCCTGCTTCTGCCAGGGGTTTCCCAGCCAGCAGGCTAACGTAAAATATATTTACATATGTTTTATCTATATTATACTATTTTATCTATTATCTATTATCTATTATTATACTGTTTTATCTATATTATACTATTTATCTATATTATACTATTTATATATAAAATATGTATATTTAAAATATATATATTTAAAGAGGAAAAGATCCTTTCCCTGTCGTAAATCCTTGGGGGTTTGGGTCCCTGCCGTTACTGAAGGAGATATGATCTGATCCTATAGAATCTATCTAAATTCCATAGGTTGTGGTACAGCCACACCGAATATGTGGCCAATAACAGTATGAAGGTGAGTCTGTTCTCAGTGTAAAACCACCCCATGTTTACTAAGTGGAAAGGCAGGTCCTGCACAGTGTGCACCTCCATAGTGGAGTTATCTCAGAGATTTCTCTCTACTACACAGTTTGTGCAATCACCATTTTGGGCATTAACCATACGAGCTGCTCCAGTGAGCTTGTATGGCTAATTTGGGATGTGTAATTTCTGATTTTTGCTTTATTTTCCTATTAACTTACAGACCTCATAGCAGTATTGATTCCAAATGAATATGCACAGTACTGTCAGTTTTAATCTGTAAATTATTTTGCAGCTAAGTATACAAAAACAAATTAGAAAAGCACTGAAGTGACTGGTTAATTCTCTGCTTTCCGTGACACATTGATGATTCATTATATCTACAGTTTCAACTGAGTGTCTGCTTTCAAAATCCGTGTGCAATTGGACTAAATAATAAACATATTATAGATTGTTTAGTGACATGGAAATAAGTGCTTAATAAACCTGGGCACAGAAATTAGCACATAATGCAAGGACTTCTGCTAAAGTGTAATGTAATTTTGTATTTGGGTTCAGCTGCTTTAAAAATGTTACCAATATTTTATCTTGAAAATATACACAGTCACCTTGACTGTGCAATGAAGTCGTCAGTTGAATTGACTTTTTATAAAGCACGTATTCAGTCAAAGGAGAATTTCAGTGCATATATGAGCAAACACAACGACCGAACCTCTGCGCATAGGAGTATTATTACGAGCTGAAGTAACTGTGCTGACATTTGTCTAGGCTCTGAACCAGCCTTCCCTGCAGCCTTAGTCAAAGAAAAAGTGACTGTAAGGAAATCAAGGGAAGTCTTGTGCATTTTCACACTTCTTACATACCCACTGCTTAAAAGGAAACCACTACTTCAGCATGTAGTTTTCAGATCCTCACATGAATGTGGAGTGGGGTTTTTTTGGCTTTTTACTGTTTAAAGTTACTAACATGAGAATATGGCACACTTATGAATGGCAACGGAAATACTTAATAGAAGTTACGCACATTAAAGGAATATGTCTTCAAATATTTTAAGCTTCTTGCATGACTTATTTTATGCATCTCTTGTCTTGCATCTCTATGAAACACTGAATACTGTATTCAGAGAAGGGTGTATGCAGAGTTGAACCTTGACAGAAATTCTCAGTCCCAGATTTACAGTGGCATAACTGGCAGCAGAAATTGGTCTCCACTTTAGCAGACAATTAACTTTATCCAGCTGGACCCAGTACACCTTGGCAAAGATTCCTGCATAATCAGTCAATTGTTTCTTGGAACTGCTTTTTATACAAACTCTTTTTTTCCTTCTTTTTGTGGTCAATTAACCTCAAAATAGCCTTTATTAAAAAAAAATAATAATTACTTACCTGTATTCAAGCAACCTATGTGGAAAATGTAAACATGTTAAGGGTACAAGGGTAAAAGTCTAAAACACTGAACATGAAAGAGCGACTGAGTCAACCAGAAACAGGAGTGCTAACCTGGTGTCTGCTGATGAACTATTTCTTCTGGATCCTGCAGGTGAATGAAGACAACAAGCCCAGCTGCTCCAAACAGCAAGATGAAGGAGAACAGACATGTCAGCCTCATAATTATTGTTCTCAGATCAATCCAGTTTGGACCCAGGAAAAGAACTGCACGCAATCTCCAGAGCGCTCTTCACTCATAGTCTCGTCCTCTCATCTGGAAGTCTGGCATAACATACCTACAAAAGGTAAAACAAAACCCTCTAAAACTTAACACTTACATTGTGTAAGGTGCATTCGTTGATTGAAGTTTTTTTTTAGATCAAACAACTGATTTCTTTAGTATTTCTTAGGTAAGTTAATTGCAGTCATCAAGTCAATTTCAGCCCAATCAGTTTGTCTTTAATTATGTGTCACTGTTTTTAACATGTTGGAAGTACAATGTAGAATATCATCAGAAATATAACTTGGGAAAAACGATCATGCCATGATGGTAATTTGCAGAAAAACCCTCTTAATAGTTTTCTTTCTTTGAGTCAATCATACATCACTTTTTATTTTGCACTGATTAAGCAATGTGAAAACGATGAAGTGAGATAATAGGGGCAAAAAGATAAGAAGCACAGTAACTTGCACGTCAAACATGAGGAGAGTGACCAACAACTGGCAGCTGCCTACTACTTCAGCCTTGAGGAAAATAGTGGGGCACTGCAGGTTGCTACACAGCCTGTTGGAAAAGCTCCATGGACCTATTGATTTCCAAAGAGAAATGCTGGTCACAGTGCTTGGGCCACCTTTCATGGGATTGCACAAAGCACCAGCAGGCAGAGTGCAGGGAGCAAGCTGGCTGGCTGCAGGAGCACTGGACACTGGAGCTGCTGCCTCTCTTCCCTAGGGAACTCCAAACAGATTTCTGGGCTCAGTTCTGCAGTTCTCACGACTGGCTGTAACACTTGCAGTTCTGTGCCATTTCAACAAACAGCAGCAGCACTGGTCAGTCCTAGATGGGCACCATGTACGTGATTCTAAACCTCTGACTGCACGCACTCCTAAGGCAAATACTTTATTTTAAGCACAAAAATAGTCCCACTGGAAGCAGTATCCATTCTGGTAAGAGTTAAGAAGTGAATAGATGAAAGAATGTGAACAACAACAAAAAACATCAGCAGTGCCAGTTGTTGTATTAACTAAAAGAAATGCTTTTGTCACGCAAGTGAGCTGGCCATACATTTTTTGGTGACATGTAGGAAGGTCCATTAAAGAGCAGACACTGAAACGGGTTCCCAGCAAACATAACCTCATTTCTTACCAGCAGATTATTTACCACAAGGACCCCGGCTGGAGAACAGCAAGAGATTGCAGGAGTGACTTCGCTTTTATTGTATTTCTAATTGGAAATGTGAGCTGGGGTAAAGGTTTCTGAAGGTGGTCTTTATTTACAAAAGAGGTTTTAGGTACAGAAAGCTCGTGTTACATTAGCCTGCAGGGAGGATGGGTTGTGGAAAGGTGATGATTCAAAGTAATTATTCCAGGAAAAGTCTTTAAAGATTTCTTGATGTGCCTGGAACATTTGGTGTTAGAGGCAACTTCTTTTGCTTTTCATGGTTTCCCTAGCTGGTTTTTAATTCTCTGCAGGATATTTGTTTTCTAAATTTCTAAAATGCACCAAAAAAGAACCATTTTTGCAGTTCCAGTGAAGTCATTTTTGAAACTGACTGATAAGGTTATTTAGTGGCAACTATGTTTGTTTATTCAGTGCATAAAGCAGCCAGAGGAAGGCTTGAGGCCAGGAACATTGATGGATGCTTGTATCTTATACGAATGCTAAGCATCACTAAGTTCTGTCTATGTGTAGGAAAATGCAGCTTTACTTTCTGTTAAAAATGATGGCAGAAGTTAACTGTATAGTTTTAATTATTTTTCCCTTAAACGTTTTTCCCCTTTTTAAAAGTAAAACCAAGAGAAAATGAAACTACATTTTTTGGCACTAGCAAAGCTGAATCCATATGGGTCTTTGTACAACTCCATCTATATGTGTTACGTGCATGTGGATGGATGGATGGGTTTCTTTTTGCACATGCATTTATTGCAAACATATATACACTGAAAGGATCAAATACTAACTCTAAAGCTCCAGTGGAGCCGGATTAGGGAAGGATTAGCCTTCAGAACAACTGTGTTATAATTCCAACCACTACTGTTATATGCAAACGATTAGGAACTTTACCTTGAGTTTACTGCAGAAGGTGTCCATACTAAATGGTCAGAGGTTTGGATAAATGGGTACTTAGGACCACATCACCTGTGGCAAGGCTGGTCCAACACCAAAATCAGAGCATCATTTTGTAAAACAACACAGTCAGAGCTTTCTAGGAATTGTGCTTAGTTCCCTGATATAAACACTTATCTTTTTCTAACCTACTTACGCTCTCTGCATGCCCATGGGGAGGAGAATTCTACTACCCCAGTTTTACAGGAAAGGAATGAGGTAAAGTTGTTGCCCGAGATTATACAGGAAGGCTGTGACGGAGCAGGGAATTGCAGTGTCTCCTAGCCCTGAGCTGGAGTCAGCAGTACTGCTCCTCTCTGCTGGGAGTGTGAGCTGGCAAGAAGCGCATGATCATAATTTGAAAGACAGGAGTTTAAAAATATCTATTCCCTAATAACTAAGGTTTTCTATTTGTGTAATGCTGCGTTTTAAGGTTGCTTTTTGAATGAGTTATACCCTTGAGCAAATGTGGGCTTCTAAAACAATTATTATTAGCTTAAAATGCTAGACCATTTTCACTTTATGATTTGTTGAAATGTTTTTGTTTGAAGTAAAGGCAATATCAAGAAAGAAGGTCCCTAGCCAGTTTTTAATTAGTGCAAGAAATACTTAGTGCAAGAAATACTACAGTAGCAGTTTTTAACAGTTATAATGTTTACATTATTCCATATCCTATAGGACATCTGTGTTCAGGATCACATAGCCTTTTAGTTTAGACACCTCACGATGCAGCAGTAATGAAGGCTAGATGGAAGCATGTATTGACAGAAGAAAAGGTCACATGTAATGATACAACTCTACAGAAACACTACTGTCATTCCCTGTTCACTCATCTTTGCAAAGAGCGAATGGAGAGCGAGTCCAAGAATGAAAGAGAGCCTCTTGCCCCTAACAAAATTAGTACCCCTCAACAAAACACAATTTCAGAGATCTTTAAATTATGGGTCTACACTTTTCCCATCTCTATTCTTCTGTAATTATTTTGTCAATCAGTTGTTTTTAATTAACACGTCGTAGGAGAGTAAGCCTGGTGAATGGGGATGACTGTTTTATAGATGCTGAGTGCGTGCTTCGTGAGCACTCCCAGGCTGGTCAGAGAGCTGCAAGAGCAGTTGGCATCAACTGATACATGTGAATGAAGTGTCTTCATTTGGAAATATTGTCTATAGTTAGATCCCATGATTTAAAAGATAAGTTAAATACCATGATTTGAAAGATAGGTCAGATTAAAAAAAATAAAGAAGGAAAAAAAAAAAAGAAAAACCTTAGTGGAGCACCAGCTAACAGTTTCTTCAGGCAGTGCCTCATCAGGCCTATGAGGGAGAAGATTGCCCTGTGTGGGAGCTCTGGACTGGTGCACACAGAGCTCCAGAGAGTTTTGCACAGATCTGAAGCCTTCAACTCATACTTTGCATTCGTAGTCACATTCTTCAACTGTGCTACTCACAATAGGCAAAAAGATATAACTTTTTATAATTCTTATTAGTGTTACTGGGAGTGCAAGAAGATAAGGCTGCAAGCAGCTTCCAATCAAAACTTCATTTTCAGCTGCCGTGAACTTATTAAACAGATGGGGAGCAGTTCACCAGAACATGCCATAATGAATTGAAATGTCTAACTTTTAATTTATTCTTCCTTTATACGTTTCTGCTGTGGATAAAACTCCTAGGCATCGATATGCATTTTTCCAAGCTTTCCCATTACAATGGTATGTGAATGTTCTGCCCTTGAAAGCAGCAGAACTGTGTGTATATGCAGATAACAATTAGCACGCAGGTAGCACTTTCCAGTTCAAAGATATTCATTAATCTCCACAGCACTCATCTGAATTGTGAGGTGAGAAGTATTAGCATCAGGTAGGAGAAGCAGTGGTGCATCATGAAAACAAACCTTTTCAGGAAAAAGGCTGCACAATTTTAGATAAGAATCTTACAGATAAATCTGTGGAAAACTGTTGAATATTTTAGCAAAATATTCAGCTATCACAGCTTTTAGTTTCAAACTCACAAGGACCAGTTCCTCCTGCTCCCAGGCAATTCTGAAAACCTCTTAGAAAGACACCACAACACAGTGTGGTGGGAAACATGCCTCATGTCGGCTGCTTAGCTGGAGCTGTGCTATTGCACGGCGTCCACTGCTGAGCCTGTCTGAGCAGGAGCTCCCTGCAGCTTCTCCTGGAAAGGTCTGCGTCATAAAAGTGAGGCCTTGGCCTCCTGGCAAAGCTATTTTTGTTTAGATGGAAGTTAAAATGAACATTTTAATTTAAATCTTCTAAGGAGAGTGACACGGAAAGCAGTACTTCAGAGACTTCCTTTTTTGCAATTGCCCTCTGGACGCCTCATGGCTAAACATCTTTACTGCAAGTAATTTGACATTATGATAATGGTCAACCCAAAAAAGGCAAAAAGAGACAGTTTTCTGCTAACATCTCTGTTGTTTAATTCCTCATCTGAGATGCATTAACTAGGCTGCGCTCAGGGTTGCATCTGATAGCACACAGCTGTTTGCTCATTCATGAGCTTTGTGGATGTAGAATCTCTCCCTTGTCTGCCAACATGTCTGTGAACAATGATGTCGATAGATAATAATCTAAGAGCATGATGTGCTTCAGGTAGAAACTCAGGGGATTGTCTTTGGACCATCTTGAAGAGAATCTTTCCCTAGCAGGGGGCAGTAGTTGATACTTCAAAAGAAGTACAAAAACCTTGAGAGCAAAGCAGTAGGATAGCTTACCCCCAAGAAGAGGTCTGTCTATCCATATGGAGATCAACTTTTTACGTCCATAGCATGTCTTAGACTGGCTGTCAATGATGTCAGGGCATGCACCATTCACAGCTACTACAAATATCACAACTTTTAACATTTAAAAAATGTTTAAAAAGTGTTTCAAGAGCTCAGTCACTTGGCGAGAACAAATAGAATTAGCCTAAAGGTGAAAAAAAATGTGCAAAGACAAGAATGGAAGA